AGAGAGGCAAAATAAGATTGTCGAATGGACAAAATTTAAAATTTCAAAGGTCTAAGGTACAAAAGGTCGAATGATTCAAAGAGGGCTAAAAGGTCGAGTGCTCTAAAGGGAAACGAAAGGTTGAATGGAAAAGAACGCCGAATGATTCTAAGAGGGACAAATGGTCGCAAGTGGAAGGAATACTTAACAGACTTAAGACACTGTTTCGTTCAATATTAAACATCTGATAGAGCGCACTTCCTTTATCGAATGGTATTGTTAGTTTGCGTGGATGTGTTTTGATTCTCGAGAAATTTGCGTTTAAAGCCATTGATTACGTTTGGTTGTTCCGCCTATTTCAATTGTTGATCTAGAATTATTCAAAAGAACTGTACTTGTTTTTAAGAAATATATATTTTTCTATTTTCTTAAGATATCTGTGTGTATTATTATCTTGTTTCCCCTCTTTATGAAATTCGACCTTTTGTTCCTCTTTGTGCCACTGAACCATTTGTCTTTTCGATCTTTTGTCCCTTCGACCTTTTGTCAATATGATCATTTATCCATTAGGCGTTTGCCCCTCTATGGGTCATTCAACTTTTCGTCACTATCCGAAGTATAGGGCTATCCGATCTTTTGTCCATCTTGATTACCTGATGCCAGCAAAACAGGTCCATCCCAAGTAAATGTTTACAAAATGCTTCATAAAGATGAGAGCGTGTAATTTTATTCACTAGGTCAAAGTGACAGTTTATTAAAAAGTGTTTCCTGGGATGAAAACAATAATCATTACAGTGGTAGCACTGTATCTTTCATCTTCAGGCTGGTTTGACCCTATAAATTCCTGTTAAAAATAGTTACATCCACCGTTCTCACTTACCCCGTATTCTCACTTGCCTCGCACTTCCTTCATCATTTTTTTTTATTTGGCTTGGTCTATCCTTGTCACTTTTTTTGCCATTCTTATTTTTACTTCTGTCTGGTCATCAGCATCGTAGTAAGGGTTTACTACGCCTTTTGTAAATGACGCTCCTTTCAAAAATATATTAGAACTCTCAATGTGTGTTCACTTTCTGGATTTCTCTTAAAATTTACTTCATTCCAATTCTCTTCAGGAAACTCTTGGAATTCACTCTAAAATTCTGAATCATTCTCGCAAAAGCGCTTAAAGCTTTCTGCATAATTATATCTATATATTCCCAGATTTCAATTAAACTTTCTGAATGTGTGGACCTTGATTAAATAAGCCACTTTGCATATACTTAGTTTTTCCAAAATTTATCTGGACTAACCTTTGAGAAGGGCCAAACTTTTTTTGTGGATTTTTTCAAAAAAAAAATTATCGAGAAATGACAACTACAAAAATGTGTTGTATCGATGACTTTTAGCAAATTGTCCAAATCATCGAAAAAAAAAATACTGAAAAAAAATCCGTTTGAGACCTACATTGAAAAAAAATCGGTTTTTAAAATTTGACGTCGATTTAAAAAAAAAATGCCGCCTTTGATTTGGATGAAACTTTGTCTCTAGATAGGTAATTATGTTTACTACCAACCGTCAATACATTGCAAGATGGGCACTTTTTGGGAAAAAAAATTCCTAGCAAAAACTTTTTGATGTCTGAACTGATTTTTTTTTAATTTGCCATTTTCGCACAAAATTAAACCAGTGAAGCTCAAAATCATCTCTGAATCCAATGAAGCTGAATTTGCGATTCAATGTTGTCTTATCAGCACTTAAGTTCACTTTGATTCACATTTCTCGCCAAATCGTATTCGGAATTGGCAGCACCCTCCCAGAGTTCAATAAAACTTTCTGGACATGAAGACTTTGTCAAAAAATATCATTCCCGTATTCTGTTGTCTACTACTGAGGTAAAATCTGATTATATGTGAGAGATAAAGATAAAAAGAAGATTTTTCATATATCATTTATTTATATATTTTCAAGGTTTTAACCCTATTTTTCCTTTTTCCAATCTAGTTAAATATTTTTGATTCATCTTCTGAATTAGAATACATTTTTGCCACTACTTTGTAACCAGTTATAGGCACAAGACTGTGGAATTTCTGTGTGCCAGATATTGTCTTTGTGCTATTATATAGCTCTTGAAGTTCTTCTGACATTTCGATGTACTGTTCAGTGGATATGTACTCGAAACGTAGTTTTGTTTGTTTTATCGAATGTTTATCTGTTTGTTCAACTACCCAGTTATAGAATTCTCGTGAAGTTGTTATGGTGTTTCCATAATCTCGAGCAAGACTAGCTCTCTTTGCTATTCGCTTGAGAGTGCAACCAATAACATCACAGGGACCTTTTCCATGAGACGTTGCAAAAAAAAAAATGCCATTCTGCTTGCTTCCATGCTTTGACTGAAATTTACGCAACCTAGCAAATTTTTTTTTGTATTGCCCCCATCTGACATATAAGTAATTTTAGAAAAATCTATCGATTGTTTAATAAAATCTATCAATTTTTAGATGAACAACTGAATTGCCACTGTATCGTGAGTCATTACTTCTGATATGATATGAAGCTAACATTTTCAAGTTTATTGTATTTCTTATAATAAACTTCAAATGGAGGTATTGCTGCTTGAGAATTATTCCAGTGATATCCTTGAGCAGCGTTTAGGATAATGAATGAAAAATCACAAATTGCTAGAATTTCCCCTTCCTCTAATGATTCTTTTTTTTTTATTTCTTAGACGATGGTTCTTAGTTGACGGTTGGATATTTACTTCATTTCCAATCGATCGGCGTTTTTTCATAACTGGATTTCTATTATGAGATATCACGCTACGGCATGACTCACAAATGCTCGTCTTTTCACCAATTTTGTGGTTATATGCCATAGAATGTATTTTTTTCTACCATCGTTGACGATATGGCCCGTAACTTATTTCGGTTGCATGTCGGATTATTCATATGTGCACAACATTTCAATCCTTTGAGCCTTAATTCACTACTTTGGTCTATGATAATAATTTTACTAAAACTTGTCTTCACAACTTTCGTTATCAGATTGACTGCTGCTTGTATGAAATCAACCTTAGTTTTATAGTGCTCATAGGTAGAATGAAGTGGTAGGTATATAATGTTACTGGTTTAGGTATAAATAACAGAAGGGCATATAGAATTATGATGCGATACGTTGACTTCCCAAATCGTTATTGATTCGAAAGAAGATCTCAATTTAAAAATTTTTCATACCTAATTATTTATGAATAATTTTAGCTAAGAATGCTAAGTTGCTATAGAAGTATCGGATTTTGCCTCAATAGTAGACAATATAATCAATTATATATAATGATATGTCCTTTTCATATAGAATTCTCGATTAATCCAAGTGATTAATTGCTGATTAGACAAAATTGAAACACAAATTGAGCTTCATTGGGTTCTGAGATGATTTTGAGCTTCACTGGTTTAGTTTTGTTAAGCTTTTTTTCCCTTAAAAGTGCCCATTGTATGGACGGATGGTAGTAATAATCTATCTTGAGGCAAAGTTTCATCCCAATAAATCATGGCCATTTTTTTAATCGACATTAAATTTTAAAAATCGTTTTTTTTCAGTGTAGGTCTCAAACGAAATTTTTTTCAGTAAATACATGCAAAAAATGGCGCTAAAAGTTTGGCCCTTCTCAAATGTAAGTCTAGATAAATTTTGGAAAAACTGAGTATGCAAAATTGCTTATTTAGTCAAAGTCTACACATCCAGAAAATTTCATTGAAATCTGAGAGGGTGTTGCCAGCTTCGATTCGATTTGGCGCGAAATGCGTCTATTACCATTAAATTCTACTCTAATTGAAGATACAATTAACATTATTTAGGATTTTTTTTCAAAAAGCTCTCCGAGGATGAGCTTTTATTTGGTGATTGCAGCCATTGTTTACAACAGCAGTTGCACCCTTATCTCAAAACAGTTAGAAGTCATAGCCGGAGTCGGCATAATTTCACCGACTCCTACTCCACAGCCCTCTTTCAACTGTTAATTATATGGTTAAATCATTAAATAGGATAAAGTGGTAAAATATTATGTAGACTAAGCTATTCAATAAGCATTGTGGATAACTTGATATAATTTAAGTTTACTTACAGATTATCCAATAATACCCACACTCTGTAATGTTCCCAATCTTATCCATCTGGAACGCAATGCAATTTGAGCCTTGCCGAATACAAACACTGTAATGAATCACCGCAGGGAAACTGATCGATTTATACTCAATGATAATATAACTTTCACACAACTAAGCGGCATTCCACAGGGACGTGCACGCATCGGTAGTATAACGTCATAAAGTTGGCTGAAAGCGAAAGTTTTTTTTAGTCCATTGAATTGAACGTATGAGGCGGCCTGATATATTGGAGTGCCACTCTCCCTCTCCTTGGTTCCAATATCGTATTGGTTCTCCTGCCTTTTATGCTTCGCGTTTTACCCATTTTTGCTCGCTGGGGACCCATTCAGCAGTACTTGGTGATCGCGCGGCAAAACTGAATGTCATTTCTCATATCAAAAGTGAATTTTTTCCACATACCATTTTCAACATCTCGTGCTGCACCCAGTCGCCTGAGATTTGGGTCAAAAAGGCTGTTTCAGCGTTCATGCTTGTGACTTGACGTCTCTGCTGCTACCTTTCGTACTTGTAAGGCGTAGGGCACTGGGACGCACGACGTGAATGGTAAGGCACTTGTTTCTTTAGCGCAGGAATTCCACACAGAGCAGGTTGAGATTGAGACAAAACCGTCACCCCTGTCATGGCAGATCTAGCGACAAATTACCTCTTAGATTCGGTTCAACATTAATGGAAAGCGGTTACTTTTGCAAAATGGCAAATTTGTTTTCTCACTGAAGGCAAATTTTTAACAACTAGAAATAAATCACGTCACACAGTCCAAAGCGTCCACACAAAAATTGCGAGTTTTGGTTTGTTTGAATTTCGGCTTAATTCACAACTTTCACATTTCTCTTGACAAAAACTTGTTTAACCAAAATCTTCGTCTTTCTCACATTTCAGACTGGGCTTACCAGCGCAATTAACAGCATCGGTTGTGAGTGCGGGTCCGGAAAGAAAGCAGCAGCATCATCAGTCGCAGATGTCGAGACGATTTGACTCGCCGCGTCGGTTTGACTCATCGCACGGAAGTGATACCGGTACCAGTACCAGGGAATCGGAATGCAGTGAGGAGCAACAACACTCGCCGACAAGTCCAATATCGCCCATCTCCAGCCAATCTAAACTTTACGACTCATTGGCGGCTGAGCTGCGAGAAAAACTGAGCGGAGGAGTTCCCTTGCTGCTGCCTACCCGGGAGTGCGATAAGGCCAATAACAACGATCCGCGAAGGTAAGAGTCTTAAGAGATAAGATGTTGGATAACGTTAGTTGTATGTTGAAGAACTCACTATCACCTCTGGTTCTGTGGTTTGATTCAAGCATTGGGTTACTTAATCGGTAATATCTTTGAATATTGAATCATTGAATAAAATACTGGGGTGCAAACCGCGTTACCATCCGTTGCAAGAAAATCTGGTCCATTGAAAATATAAAATATGGTAAAGTCTGGAATGCTTTGAAATAACTACGATTTTATCTCTATATTCAAACAGTTCAAAAACTATTTCAATAGTCAAATAGTTCAAAAATTATTTCAATCCATTTGAGGTGACAATCTCTTGTCAAACGGTTCCAAATCGGGTCCTGAGTAACCTCCTAAAAATTTAAAACCTTTGTAAAAAAATTGGCTGTGCACAAACCAATTTAACTTTATATGGACATTACTATGGAAAAATAAAACTTTTTTTAGTTGAAGATGCTTATTTCGAATAACTGACTGAAGTGGTAATTTTTATACGATAGATGAGGATGAGATGAAAGTATAGAATTGATAGTTCCGTTTAGATTACGGCAGTGTGAAAATTGCATATAGAAGAGTAGATAGCTAGCTAGGACAACTTTTAAGGAAGGTACAAATCGGTTTTATCATCTCTCTTTACCAAACTCCCCCTTTGGAGAAGCATGGTGAGGGGTGACTGGACTGTCTTCAACGAAGCGAGTGTAGTAAAAATGTCAACCGTTTCAACCCCTGAACCTAAGGACTGTTCACTTTATAAAACGAACACACACTTTAGGTCAAAACTTTTTTGTTTGTCTACTTGGCTGGATGCTTTCTTCGGCAAGTATGAAGCTCTTTTTGTTAGCAAAATTGTAAATTTTATTTAAAAAAAAACATTTGAAGCAGCACGAATGTTTACAATGTTTTATATTACGTTTGCTCTAAAATGACATTAACAATATTTTTTCGTACTCATATCGATACAGCTGGAATACCTGTGTGAATTTTTAATTTGCGTCAAACCAAATAATCTTATTTTTTCAATTCTCAATTCTGAATTGGTGTGTAATTAGAAAATATATTATTTTGTAGAACAAAGTATACGTAAGACTTTTCAACAGTTGTTATTATATTTTACGTCCCATGTTTACAGCTTTAGAAGAACTATCATTTAAGTTTTAATAATTATGATTCTTCATTATCTTGTAACGTTAAGCTGTTGTATAGCAGTTTTCATTAAATTTGAAATGAAGATGCAAATTGGTAACACGTAAGACAGAGTTCGATATGACTGGTCGTTTTTCGACACACAAATTAACACATTTTGTTCTATTTAAGTGATCTGGCAAGTTCAAAGGATAATTACTTTAGCCTAAATGCTGTAAGAAAAAATAAAGTCACAAATATAGAATATATTTGTATGGTTTTTTTTTGTTAGGCGTTTTTTGTTACGACTTACTTTGAATGTACATTAAAAAATTATGAGTCTGACAAACAATAATTTAAGTAGTTGAAGATGCTAATTTCAAATATCAGACTGTAGTGGTAATTTTTATACGATAGATGGAGTAGATGAAAGCATAGAGTTGATAGTTCCGTTAGAGTACGGCAGTGTGAAGATTGTATATAGATATTAGAGAAGCGAGCTAGGACAACTTTTAAGGAAAGTACAAATCGGTTTTTTCATCTCTCTTTACCAAACTCCCCCTTTGGAGAGGGATGGTGAGGGGTGTCCCCCCCCCCGCCACCACTGGCAAAAAGAGATGAAAACCGACCCGCTCAAGTACCAACTGTGTAAATCTCTCAGAATTTCGTAAAAAATAGTGGATTTGTTCCTTATCGTATAATATTAGACCAATATTTTTATTTTGTCATCAGGATATCGATTTCCATATTAAGGTGGTCCAAAAAATTGTTTTTTTTATGACTTTTTTTAATTCATAACTTTTAAACCACTGGGTGATTTCGAAGATCACAATATCAAATGAAAGATAGTTAAAAATACTTTTTAGAAAATATATAATTATATTAAAAAATGGGATTTTGTATTGGAAAACATTGGTTGTACTTGTTTTAAGGTTTTCATGGTATGTAGACAGAGAGCGCAATATGCTTTTATATTTTTCGTTGAAATTATTATTTGAGTTATTTTTTTTTTAATTTATCAAGTTTTGGGACTTCGCTTAGTACTACTATGCCACTAAACTACTATGCGTTAGGGAACATGTTACAGTCACTATAATTCAATGGAGATTAACTGTAGAGCCAGCAGTTAAAACTTTAGAAGTCTTCTACGAAGTTGTCCCTTACTGTTAGTTAAGCCCTTTGGTGTTACAATCAATACTATACATTCTCGGGAAAAGTTGTAGCTTTGCTAATTTCAAGCCACGTTGTTAACAAACTTGTGTCTATCTCTTGCATTGACTAAATTTGAGTTATTTTCTGCAATTGACTCAGATGGATGCATAGGTCCTGCGAGTAGACGCAGGGGTCCAACAATGTGTATTCCCGAGTAGGAAAAAATAATTTATGAATACCTAATTCTGATCTGATGCCAAAATTTTGCGTTGATCAGCATGACAAAATAGGTAAAATACGAAAGAATAAAACCAAAAAATTGCATGCACAATACTTTGTAAATAACAAAAAATGATATTTGAATACCAAAATAATACCTGTATGGTATTGTTTTGGTATTGCAATTGCATAATTTGGTATTGGAATAGTATTGTCATGCTCATCCATACCAATTTAAGGTATCCAGATATTCGTTCCTGCTCGGGTTACGATGATGACGATTGGACACTACTCACTTTTGCAATTGCTATCGATGCTATCCTACACTCTAACTTGGATACTGGGCATCTGTTGAAGATCAAATCAGTTATGTCAAAAAGCCGACAGTTCAAAAGCGATCCAATTGAGCATTTTTTCTCTGGTTTCCGTATTGTGTATTGCATGGAAGAAAGGCGCCAAAATGATGAAACGTTAATGGCGCCAAACAGCCGAATCCGATGCTGATGAAAGCGGAATGCAATGGCCTACAATCCCTCGAAATGCATCCTCGTATCCTGCTTCGGCCATCCTAGTCACGGCACCAAGTTTCGGCTAGGATGCGTCGCCCTACGTTGTGTTGTGTTCAAGGCGGAGGAAGAAATCGATTTCAGTTGTTCGGAACACAAGTTAAAATTACTTTTAAACGTATCAAACATTTTTATTGCCTCCGAGAGACATCCGGCCTGCTCGGAGGTTGATTGCATAAACTTAAACTTAATAACAAGAATAGAACTTAAATGCTAAACACGACAATAAAAATTCAATCACTACTTTTTACTTAGATACTTTTTTCATATGTTTCAATTTCAAGCTCCAAATGCATCATTCCTGCTAAATTCCCATTCTAGACCAGACTCGATGTTATAATAAGAGTCGCGCCAAGTGAAAATATTGCGTACAAGCAGCACTGTTTGTGATTTATTTTTCGTCAGAGTAAATAGCAACCAGATTTTTTGCGTTAGCATCGGATGATTTTCATTCAGAAGTTAAAAATTACATGCCGATAACGGAACTTCTGGCAGACAAAAAAAAATCATAGAATCTGAAAAATGTTCAAACAAGTGCTTGGTATAACTCATAAATATCACAATGCACTAAGGTTGTGAACCATTTACTGATTTAAATTTAACTCGTGGTTAAAAGTGACATTTCGAAAGTTATTTTCTATGTTCGAAAATCCCCGTGCTGTTGATCGACCGGTTGTCAAAATTTAACTTCTTGTCTGTCAGAAATAATCACGCTCGGATAGCAGGGTTAACGATAACTTTCCATCTGTCAAATTTTAACCAAAAGTTAAAAAAAAATCCACCAAATGGTTCAGAGCCTAAATAAAGCAAGGAAATGATGTTCATCTAAAATTACTAAAATATTGTGGTTCACTCGCTGTGGGAACAATAATGTTTATTTACTTTGCTTGTTTGGTACCCCGCTTGACAGTTCGATGGGTACTTCTGGCTTCACTCTTGGCGGGACTTTTATTATAACATTGACTCTGTTCTGGACCACTGTGCACTGTAACTTATAGCTTCAATGTTTTGGCTTTCGCAGGAATCTTGAAACTTCCCTAAAACATGGAAAAGCTCTTTCGTAGTGCCTAGATTCAACAGTGTAAATAAAAAGTTGAAGGGTCTGTGCCTAGGGGCACGAACGGAAGATTGACGTAGGACCGCTAGTGGACGGAACAAATATGTTGATCATTTATTTCTTAACTCTTTCCGTTTTTAAATTGGTAGCCCTGAAAAGGGCCGGTTTCAAATGGTGGCCACACCAGTGCAAGTCGATGCCGACCGGATGACGGCGGCCTATTCATGCTTCCTTTTGCGGGAAGCCTTTTATCCGGTCGATGTGGGTGCTTTCGTCGTCGTCTCAGTGATGCCACATATACAGATTTATCTGTAATGATACAGATTTTTCTTTACATTTTGATACAGATATCAGTATATACAGATTAAAGATTTTTTTTTAATATACAGATTTTTCAGATATTTCAAATAAGTGGAATATATGTTTAATTCTGGATTATATTCAGGCTTGCGCTCATTACAGCTAAAATGCTATTTTCCGTAATTATGAAACAATGAGATACTATAATGATAATTTTTATTTGTAAGATGCAAGAAGAGGTGGTAAAGTTTGTGTATGACGTATTAAATTTGTCAATTTTGCTTTCAGAAGGTCACAACTAGCGATTAGCTGTAACGATGAGCAACGCGATGAGCGAGCAATCAGCGATCATAAAATCGCTAGTTGTGACCTTCTGAAATCAAAATTGACAAATTGTATATGTCATACACAAACTTTACTACCTATTCTTGCATCTTACAAATAAAAATTATCATTGTAGTATCTCAAAGTTTCATAATTACGATAAATAGCAGTTTAGCTGTAATGAGCAATTGCAAGCCTGATTTTATTTATTAATATCCAAAAATAGTCCTTTTCTTCTTTTGAGTAGG